TCGCACAAATTTGGAAATAGCGTTCCCTTCGTTGTTTGATGTGGTCAAAAGTCTCTGTATGTTTGTAATATCTGATATCCAAAGAGAATTACAAAAAGAAACCAACACATTTACTTTCCTTTCATGACGTTAGACGTGAAGTTTGAAACATGATACGTTTATTATTCATTTTTTACTCATATATTTAATCTAATTTCATCGACTGAAACATAATNACGATCAGTCGAAGAACTACCACGGAAACAGCGAATTTTAGGCCTCTGGGGTGGTTGAATTCAAAAACACAAGGTGATAACTTGGCGAATTTGACGAGTGAAAGCTATTTGTGTTGGTTGAACATGAACAATCCATTCCTCTAATAGAACGTCTAGAACGTCAAAGATATAGCGGAATTCGGAACACACAAAAAAAGAAATAGCAGGGCTCTGGGAAGATAATTGTGAGATCACTGCACCAGAACTGGGATGAATATCTGTATCAAAGCCCTTTGTTGTTGTTGTTGTTGTTGTTGCTTGCATACCGACACCACTACACTTGTCGTTCAACTCATTCACCGGGAGCGAATGTTGGTCGGTCGCGGGGTAAACCGTAGCCGCTAACACAAATTGATATCAGCTTTCAAATGTGTGGACTGACGTTTCTCGCATCAATCCGGCCCCAAACGTTTCGTTTATTGTACATGTCCGGTTTGCTATTTAATTGTCAGCTGTTCATCTTTATTAGGGTAGATTATTCCGCTCCGCGCTTCATACGCAGACTGTGTGATTAGAAAAACCATCTATCCATCATGAATGCTCCCCCGCTCCGTTTTAAATGCTTACACAATGAAGCTCATGCGCAAGCACACACCATATAGTGACGGATTCGTGAAAAATGTCGAGTTAATTGACAGACAGATTATCTGAATCTGTGGCATGAATAAGCCAACAATTTAATTTCGAAATATGCCCATACTCGCAGTTAGAACACAATATCAGGCGAACAATTATTTTCAATAATTCATAGTCATACCATTACAGTTTATATGAGGGGAAAAATCCGAGGGGTTGGGAGGAGAACAATAAAATGTGATGAATCGTTCACTTCACGTATGCGTGTCTGTGTTTAGGAAAAGTGACTTGATATCCATGGACAGCATCACCTTATCTGACACATTTATATCTCGTATAGCTTCAGTAAATCGGAAGGTATCCTGAACACTATGTGCCGATAACCGTTTCCTTTCGGGTTCAAGGATCTCAGTCAACCATTGAGCGGCAGCATGGTATAGAGAATTAGTCATCGATAGGATGGAACGAAGGGGAACCTGGGCTTCATGGATTTTTGGCAAACCATATAACCACGGAAAGCGTGAACCGGTAGGTCTTATGCGTTCACCTAGTTCACTGCTTATGTAACCCTCTTGATTCACTCGCTTCAGTATCCCCGTGATTTGTTGTTCAGTCTGGTGTATTTTGTCTTTTCCTGTTGGTGTGGTTGTGAACTTATCCTATTCCAATACGAAAGCTAGCAATTTGTCAGTATATTCTTTCCTGTCCAAAACCACAATTCCGGTTCCTTTATCTGGGCAACTGAGAATTATATCTTAATTATGGGATCACCACGGGGACCCCTTTTGGCGGATTTTTTCATGGCAATGCTTGAGAATAACCAACTGAAAGACACCGTTACTATTCTTCATAAATATTGTCGGTATTTAGACGACAAATTTTACAATCTTTCAAACTGCGAACTGGATCAACTACTAGAAAAGTTCAACTCCGCACACAAGGCCATACAATTTACAAAGTAGGTGGAAGCAGATGATCGAATAGCGTTTCTATATGTACTCCTCATTAGAGGACGTAATGGATCCATACAGCGTAGCGTGTACCGTAAGAAAACATGGAGTGGCCAATACACGAATGTTTACAGCTATGTCCCGACTAAGCTAAAGAGGAACCTGATAAAATGTATGGTACCTAGAGCTCGGAGAATCTGCTCATAAGAAGTATTTGAAGATGAACTCAAATTTGTCTCCAACGTGCCCAGAAGCAATGGCCATCCCTACCGCTTCATTCAACGAAATATGATGGAACAGGTATCAAAAGTACACACTGATAGGGTGGAAAAGAAGGACCTGTCATTAGGCAGTTATCAATTCGCATGAAAGAACACCATCGCCGCTGGCTGAGTCGAGGTGGTTCCGGATCTATCACAAGTGCGATTCTCGCTCACTTGGTAGACACTGGCCATCGTGTTGACCCAAGTGAAGCATTCGGCATTATTTATCAGGTTCCCGCGGACCGGTCCAAATACGTTAGAATGCGTACGTTGGCCATAGCCGAGGCCATCTGTAATAGACATTTGACCCCCGAACTATGGGCCCAGAAAGGTCTTATTCAAGCTCTCCATCTCCCCTGGATTCGCGAACCCACACCTCCCCCATGCTCTCCCCCCTGCCCACACAAACAAACATTTTCACACAACAACACCGATCCCTCAGAACTGGGTCACACGATCGTCGTGACATTACTGCAAACCCCGGAAGCACAGATCTGAGAATGCGGTGTGCAACACACACACAAACACAGACACGCACACACGAAGTGAACGATTCATCACATTTTATTGTTCTCCTCCCAACCCCTCGGATTTTCCCCCTCCAATAAACCGCAATGGCATGATTATGAATTATTGAAAACAACTGTTCGCCTGAAATTGTATTCTAAAATTTTTATTTTGGAAAACTAATTGTGATTGATGTCCGACTTTGTCTGTTTCAATGATATTTCAATATAATACATGCTTGATTGAAATTAATTCACTGAGCTCCGAATAACCACATTCTCTTCCATGGTTCCAGGGGACGAAATGATCAAGAATTATTTCTCAAAAGACTTCCTTCATTAAAAGGTTTTTTATTTCTCATTGTGCATAATAATTTAAAAATTTCAACCATTTCTCTCTTGTCTATAATTAAATATTTGTTTTCCTTTTCTAGTTCAAGTTCAAATAATAGGTCAAGATTGATTGTGATTCTTCCCCTGCAAAGAAAGCAACATTGTGGTCAATTATGAGGTGAGAAGAAAAGATTCCTTTGATATTTGCTTAAGTTGCACGGGGTGAGATACCTGAGTCCACGCAATCCTTTATCTCGATAAATACATTATCAAACAAAGGTTGTTGTCAAGATCAAGTATTTATCCCAAAAGTTCACATAAGAACTGATCAAATTGTTTAAATTTGTTAAAATTCGCAAAATCATCAACAAACTTCAGCGGATTAGTGAAATATTGTGTCCCCCACCGTCGGAGTTGGAAATCCATCATATTGGTTTTCTTATTGACAGGAAAACCAGGAAAGCTGAATCGTAGGATAGCTGAGCTCGTCTAGAGATAACACAAAGCAGTGGCAGTTGAAAATGTTACATCTTTTACGTTATAAACTAAGCAAAAATAGATCAAAATGGATTTAACGGGACGAAAGGTTAACCAAACCGATCAATGCATAGATCCGATTCACCCACGTAATATGGCTCTCTGTGAAATGATCAACTTTGTTAAGCCTTCAGTTAGTACATTCATTAACTTCATCTATACAAACTTACTGAATGGCAGGTCAGCCAGGACCTGTGGATGGACAACGATATCGCTTTTGCATTCTGCTATGCAATTCCAGTGTTTTCCACCTGACTGCTCCGTATCATCTGTTCTATGGAACATGCATTTACAAATACAGTGAAGCGTGGCTGTCTGCATCATGAACACCATGCTTTTGTCATTGTTTTATTCAAAGCTGCGACGGGCCACAGCCTGTCTGAATTGTGTCATCAATTCAAGGGCCACTGACCGTAAACGTGTTTTAGCATAAAGCACAGGAGAATGGTTCCCCTGATATGAAAAATCCTTGTATGCATTGTCCTGATTAGGGTACATTTCTAATCGCAACGGATCCCATTTGCATGGCTCCATATTTTGAGCCCCACTCCTGTAGTGAGTTAAGCCATTCATGAGTAGTTCTTCGCGAAAATGTCTTCACAGCTTTATGTTTTTAAACGTCCACTATCAAACAAATTCGACAGGTATAGATGTTCAACTGATAATTGGAGTGCAGCTAACACATTACGCTTACGCTGTGACTTATGTGCCAGGATGTATGAGTGATAGTAGTGATACAATAGAATATGAAGATTGTCCCATGGTGAATCAAGGAACCTTTCTATGCAGACCGTAGATAACACGGAATGAGTGAGCTCTTACGAACAGTGCTCCCAAGTGTTTTCTAGGAACTAGAGAAGTTAAGCCATCATCGATAAACCTGACAATCCGATTTAATTAATTGTGGATACTTATGTGAAACGTTTATCAGAACTTTTTCCACTTCAGACTATTATTATTTCTTGTAATCTTCCTAACTGCTAAAGTGCAAAAGCTTGATCTGTGGAAGTACCCCAAGACAAACATATTCCACCCACGTACATTGTGAATTGTCTGTGCACCCCCCCAACCACACACACACACACGTTCATCACCATTTTCAGAATATGGCGGGGNATCGAATGCAAAGCTCAAATAATAAAATTAGTCAAATTTCCATATGAGAAAGACATGACAGAACAAACGGAATCTATATTAACGTCCATCTTGAAAGAACTAAAGATAAAGGGTCACATCACAAGCGGTTTTCGAAAATCTGGTTCCGACTGGATCCTCGCGGCCGCGGCTCCATGGATTACCGAAGGTGCATAAACCAAACGTTCCGATACGACCCATAATTGACATGTCGAGTTCGCCATATCATGCTATCGCACAATGAATCATAGAACTACTAGAATCAGTACGCCGAAAGATTGCCAAACATAGCCTGAAGGATAGATCTAGCTTTATAGAGAAGATAGAAAACCTCAATGGTCTCAACAAAACTATGATGTCCTTCGATGTGGAATCCTTGTTTACAAACGTACCGCTCATAGAGACAGTTGATCATATTTGTGAAATGTTAGTTTCTAGCGACATCCACGTCGGAATTCCGGTGAAAAAATTGAAAGAGTTGATTCTCAGATGTACATTTAAAATACAGTTTTTGTACAATGACCGGTTCTACAGACAAATCGACGTGGTAGCCATGAGGTCTCCACTAGGTCTCATATTGTCAGATGTTTTCCTAGCCAAACTGAAGAACGAAAATTTAAGAGGGACAATTCGATATTTCAACACTTATTGCACCTACCTCGACGATACTTTTATCGTTTGTGATTCTCACATCAGCCACACACAACTTATCGACGAATTCAACAAGTGTCATTCGGCTCTTTGTTTCACCTGCGAACTAAAGAAGAGCTATCGTTCTTAGATGTGTTATTGACAAAGCGAGACAACAGTGCCATCCAAAGAAGCGTCTTCCGCAAAACAACTTGGGTTGGACAGTACACGCATTTTCGCGGCTTTGTTACCCTGAAATATAAACGCAACCTGGTCAGATGTTTATCATACCGAGTGCGTGCGATTTGCAGCGAGGATACACTGCAGTCCGAGATACGTTTTATTCCTGACGTACTTCGGTCAAATGGTTACCCGGAAGCTTTTATTCATAAACATACTTTTGAAGAACAACCCGAGCAAAATTCCCACCGTTCCTCACAAGAACGTTTTCCTTGCTGTGCCGTTTAAGGGCGACAATGCCCTGGAACTTCCTAAAGGACGTTTGTCAAAAGCGATCGCTAGAACGTACCCTGCAGCTCAACCGCATATCCTCACTACCACTCGGCCCTTGCTGTCCCAGCAGATTAAAGATAAGCTTCCTCTTCAGTCCAAATTTTTCGTTCTATATCTTTTCACGTGCACTTTTAGTGTTCGATACATTGAACATAGGACCAGGTGATTATCAAAACTTGTTGCTGAGCACCGTCCTGCGGCCCTCTACAAAGGGACGGTTAGATGAATTCGCAGCTTGGTGTTCGGTTATCTCGTCAGTAGTGGGCATTTTGTGAACGAGTTGGATGCATTCAAAATTATTCACACTATATCCCGGAGATATTCCAAAGGGATAAGAAGACAGCATTTAACCACGACCGAGGCGATTGCAATTCGCATTTTCAATCCAGAGTTATGCAAGCAAAAAGAAAGCTGGTTCAGACACCTTTGTTGCCTTGGCCTGGACAACGGATTGGTTGTGCATGAAACAGAGCATCAGTTTCCCCCGTCATCTCATCCCCAACCCCCTTTCCTCATTCACTATCACCAATCTCAATCTTAAGAGCTAATTATCTTTTTTTTGTCTCCAATGTCCCATCCTGATTGCATCACTTGCTATGCATGACCTATAGTTTCAATTGTATATTACGTAACTTCATCTCGCTCTCTTGTTTTAGCTCACAACTTTCATTTTAATCTGAACATCTCTCTACCGTTTGTCCATTTGACATTTGTCTTCTCACCTCCACCCACGACTATCATTAACCTTGTCATATTCTTTCGATCAGTTTGCTCGCCTCTGTCATCGTTACTAACTGAGCTTTAATCGGCCAATCAGACATCTGTATTATGATCACCTTTTATATGTGAACGCCTGATGCGATATATCGAAAAGAAATTTCTTGGCGAATACCGTTTTCTAAATTGCCTTATATTTTAGCCAAAATGAATCGAAAGAAAACATGGAATTTCTGCCACGGCAAAAGTATTGCGCCCACCAAGAAATTTAATTCACTCAATTTGGTTTAACTAACGGGTGCGATCGATACTCCAAGTTTATAGCTCAGCGCGGCAGCTGACAATCGTGGTGAATTAGTAATCGACTAACTGGAGCGCGTTGCGGTCATATGACCATCTTTTGACATGGGTCAAAGGTGGAAAAACCTCTTGTGAGTAGTTTGAGTTAAACGATTCGGTGCGAAAGATAAAATGTACATTTAAAACAGACACCGGGATGAAATGTATATGAGAAATTCAAGGTGCACAGCTATGACAGCTTGACCTTTACTCTCAACCGTAAGTGAAGTAGCTTGAAAAAATGAATCGATTTTACACTATGAAAAGTGAATCAGATGTGCAGTTGATTCAGGGGTGGGATAGTGACAACAAGGGCATGATTAAAAATCTTTGCGGAGTATTAAAGTGGCCGAAATTGGTAAATTTATGGGAGATGCGCTGAAAAGTGCTTTCTGTTTTTCGATGTTTCTCCGTTAAACTAAAAAACAATTTACCACAATTTGGCACTTCGGTTTTTCAATCAGTTGCTCATAATATTCTTAAAAACAAACATGCTAACGATCGCGTTCGCGTGGTGGTGTATTAAATCCAAATTACGGATGGGTTCAATACGTTTATCATCCCTAGGGAACGAAAATAAACTTGCAGACAAAGAATATCGAAGTTAGAAACGAACGTCTAACTCCGAGGCTAGTGGATTGATTGTGCCAACAATTTTTTTCTGGGCGCATACCATCGGACAATGTGATGGAATCAGAAATGCATTCCTGAATGCCAACCGTTTAACAGCTGTTTTACTCCAGTTATGGGGGAGATTAAATCGAGAGTCAAGCTCCGGTGCTTGCCGTG